AAAAGTGTCCTGAGATAACTTGTTATGAATTGGTGCTATACAAATAAAATTGAATTGAATTGAATTGAATAGTCGCTAACTTCCTGTAAGAGGTGAACTACAACAGGCAGTTTCTTTAAAGCCAAATAATTTTTCTAGTATAGAAAGTATAGAATAGTAAAGATCTAAACTAAGTGGTAGAGAGTTAAATTCAACACATTTTTCAATAAGATATAGTTCAAAATGTGCTCTACCAAACAGTTGAACACAACATTAACTACATTAATTTGGCCCCAGGCCCCTAACAGTTCAAATCAGTAGAATTTATTTTATTTGACACAAAAGTTAGTGCACGTACAATTAACATCACTGTGCATCTATTTATCAGTAACAGCAACAAGAAATTTGATGCTATAAATGTAGATGGAAAAAATAGACTCAATGTTGAAAAGATCACTGCGGGTGTTTGGAGTTCAACCAAAACAGAGAATCAAAGCTCTACCATGACTGGAAAACTAGTCTCTAAATTTCCAGGTTTTCCAGGATGCGTTGGAACGCTGATGGTGTGGTATTAGCACTTTGTACTTACTAAGGTAAAGGATCTAAATCCTTCTTCTACCACTGGGTACAAACAAGCAGCTGCTGTCTGAGCTGATCAAATGATTTCACTTGTAACTGGAGTTCCTTTTGTATAATGGACTTTATTAACAGCAGTTAATAATACAGCTCAACCTTAAAAACAAGCAAGTCATTCGCACCAAAACATAATGTTAAGTGCCAAAGAAACTCCCATCGTGATCATATACATTCAGCAGAGAATCACAACAACCGAACATGAATGGTACTCGTGTTGAGTACAGGAATGGTGTACATACAGTACTGAAAGGCAGATCCAGCAGCAGCAGAAATGGTAGAAGGGCCAAATAGTGAAGCATGACGTCTCACACAGCAGGACTCAGAAGGGACTTGAGTCTCCTGACCTGATGAGAAGCTGCTTTCTGGACACGATCCTCCCCACTATAGGCTGGACGTTCTCAAAGTCCTCCTATTGTTGTGATTACATCCATAATTAACTGTCTACTGATGCAGGGTGCAAAGATCTTGCTATTCTTCACAGACATTCTTCAGATACAGACTTTCATATGGGAGTAATCTAAAGCTTTACATGATAAAAACGCACACATAAACAACCACCGGCATCGTTTCAGCAGTCGTGGAGCAGTTTTTGAAATGAAAAGTCTTTTTCTTCAGACGAGCGACTTGCTGTTGATCTTCCTCTTGAGAATTCAGTCCATGCAACCGAAGTTTGGCACAGAAGGGAGCAGAAAGTTTGGTACAAAAGCAAAAATTACAAAGGAATAATGCCCCATCTAACTAGAAACTACAACAGAAAACACTGTGATAAAAGATACTTGCTCTACTTATCAAAGTATCTTCATGGTTTTTTTTTATGATTCACAAAACAAAACATACAACAATTTTATATGTACACGCCACTTCAAGTCTCATAAAATTCAAAAATCTAAATATTACAAGAACAAAAAAAATAACGATAGCATGGCGAGAGAAAGCCTGCACACTGTCAATCATCAAAAACATTAGTTATGTGTTTTTATCATGCTGGTTTATTTATGTAAATTGGAATATTAGTAAGTATGTCATCTTTTATGGTCATTCTCTTTTGGTTAAAAGAATATGATGGGATGTAGAGAAACACTGCCCTTTGAACACACATGGAAGGACTTAGGTCATCTCCATGTGACAAAGTCCGGAGACAACTCGTACAATTAAACGTATGCATAGAAAAAGAGGGAAAAAACAACCTTCCACTATATTAACTAGTCTCCTAAAATGCTTGAAATGATTACTGACCCTTGGCCTTGGAGAAGCAGATAATTTCAGCTGAATCATCATATTTATTTGGATATAATGACAACCGCTGCACCATCCTGCCCACTGGCTGCAGCTATGATATCATTAAATATGACAGAGCGACAGAAAACTCATTAAATACACATTTTCTTCAATCACACAGTTGAGCTTTAGGCCAACCATCCCCCGTTAGATGATAACACGCACCGTCTTATGGACGAACAGGCCTATGCTTTTAGTGTATGATGTCAAACTTTGGACTGTAATCAGCGGGCAGAAAAGAGCTCTCTCTTTCTCCTTGTTGCTACAGTGTCTGAACTGTGTCACAATGTCTAGGTCTGCCGCTGTAGACTAAAAAGTAATGGTTCTCTTTGCCAGCACCACAGAAATTGCCTTTTATAAGCTGTGGTGCTCAGGCAGCTGTGGGCTGTTAAGCTGTTGTTAGGCATTGAGAGCTTGAGTGTGTTATGTGCCAATATCTATATAATATATGTCTTTGCACCTCAAAGGAGACACAAAGTTTACATCAGTGACTGTTTGCTTGTCTGAAACGCTGTTTTCCCAGAGCAGCTTAACCCTCCCACCTTCCTCCTCCTCCTCCTCCACTGGACAAATTGGACCGACTTTTCATAACGTCAGGAAATGAAGCAAGTACAGTGGGTGGCAGGGCAAAAAGAGGGAGTGGGAAAGAGAATGGATGATGGAGAGGATGAGAACAGAGAGAAAGAGAGCCACGGTGGAGCTGGGGTCCTGCCTTGAACAGGTGGTGGTGGGGTCACGTTGTTGCTGTCAGCTCTGGGCTCTGACTCAGGACCTGGCTGTGGCTACGGCGGGGCTCACTTCTCTCTGTAATACAGCAGGTACATCTTCAGAGGCTCGGGCAGTGGCAGGCCCAGTATTCGCTCCCTGAGGATGTTCACGGCCGGCTGAGGTCGGAGCAGTTCCCCGGTCTCCTTTTCCTCCTCCTCCTCCTCCTGCTCCTCTTCGTCCTCTTCCTCCACCGTCTCCTCCTCTTCCACTACCCCCCCGGCTCCCCTCCCCACCCTCCTGCTCCCTCTCATCTGCCGCCTCACCTCCCTTTCCCCCGCCTCCTCCTCATCCTCCTCTCTCCCTCCCTGGTTGTTGTTGCTGTCCAGAGGAGCGGGACCGATGCCACTGCTGGCCACCACCTGGCGGGTGGCCAGGACCAGAGCGTTGCAGTGGCGCCGGTGGACGCGTCGGCGTTTGAAGCGAGGGCCGTACTTGTGGAGCCCAGCCACTGCCAGGCCCCTGCCCACGCTGAATGAGGACCCTCGGCCGCGTGATTGGCCGTCTCCTCCATCTGTGGTCACTCTGAGGGTGTGGCGGATGCAGATACGAGCCAGCTCCTGTAACGTCCGTACCTCATATTTGGCTGCAAAAATTGAGAACCATGAGAAAACAGAATGGAAATGAAAATAGTAAGAAGAACAGGGTGGAAAGACAACAAAAGTGAAGCATTGACCCTTCTTAAGTCCCGCCCCTTTTTGCTCTGAGCTACAATAAAAGTTGAGCAAGCCTCTGTGAACTTTCTCCTTTATTGTACTTAGATATGCTATGCGCAACAAAATTTTGAAGATGGTTAAAAGATAAAAAGAACATATATAGTCACATCTTAGGTTTGTTTAATAACACTGATATTAGTGTTATTATAATTATTATAAGTATTATT